GCACATAAAACCTAATTGTGGAACAAACATAAGCAATTCAGCAACTTTAGGAAGTTGCGGAAAAACTGGTTATTATAATTGGAGGGACACAAGGGTCTTGTCTCGTTACAGCCCTAACGATTATGCTGTGACCCACTTAGAAGCTTTGTCCGAGTGTGAAATTATTATATTATTTTGAAGCATCGGAGTGGAGCCCGTCAAATTACGATTTTAAACTACTTTTGGTGGGCTTGCAAGACTTGTTACTAATACCAATTTACGGCTCTGGTACTCTATTGTATTTTGATATGCTTTTAATGTTTAGAGATACTATATATATATATACAATATCGACGGCAAGATTATTATCTGGTATTGAAGAATGTTATTATAACTTTTTTAAACAGTCTCCTGTCACTTTATTTAAACTGCATCCTTACCTTAATTAGCAAAGTGCACCCGCCGTTAGTGGTAAGATACACGCCAATATTGTTCTACAAACTCGTTGGAGTTGCACCCTGGTGCTAGTCGTAAGTGGGTACAATAAAGCTCTCGGTACATTAAGCTTCCGCTAGTGCGCCGTTAGCGAGATAACGAGACCCAGTGGCCAGTGCCGCTGCCCGCACATAATTTATACCGTCCGAGCTCGTTAAAAACTTATAAAGACGCACATTGTTAGTGCGGCCAATATTCGCGGTTCGAGGAGAATATACGGCCGCGCTAACGACGCTCTCGTACGAGCCATTGCGCAAATTATCCTCCTCAAAAGGGTGCCCGATTCCTGTTCCTAGTTATATTCATTTAAATGTTTTTCACACACAATAATCTTCATTCATCAACAAACTATGCTTATTTCACTGTTGGATATGGGTGTCCTCTAAGAAGAAAGTTGGACAAGTTCGTCGGCCCAATGCAGCAGCTGGAATTCACACTTAGAGAAACTTTGAGAACCTTTACTTGATGAGTATGTTTAACAAGGATATTCTTTCTACACCGTTAGAGAAATACAAGAAATTCAAATAAAAAATTAAATGTAATATATGCAAATCATAGCATATTAAAAACGAAATATTGCATTTTGAAATGACATTTCCATTTCATACCGGATACGTTGTGTTTTAAAGTACTTATGGTGTAAAGGCTTTTTTTAGCTGGTGAATATGCAGGACATATAGTAAGGGACCGTGTTCCTAAATTTGATTTCTCATGATTATAGAAAGTTTTTCATTTTCTTAGTCAAATATTTTACTTTAAAGTACGCATTCATAGCTTGGTCTGAGCGCCATCGTTTACTAAGAACACACTAAACTAGGGTTAAAGTACCTAATTTCCACTTTCTTATGATCAGAGGCTATCAAACGGTAGTTTTGATAGTCCTAAGTATCCATTGTGTCAACACGTGGTCAACACTATCGTCGAAAGAAGTTTTACGACTTCATTAATGCATAGTGCTATCTTAAAATTTAATTTATATAGTAAAAGCCAAATTTGCTAGTGATAACGCCATAGTCATCCATTTTTTAGTATCATTTATTTATTAGACAATAAGTTAAAATATTAAAATATGCAGGTAAGGTACATAGAGGCTTAAATACTAAA